TCTCACCTCACTTTCTTAACTCCAAATTTTTCTATTCTGAAATTTTTTATTGTCCTCCATCTTCGCTTCATCTTAATCTTTATATTTTTATTTTCTGTTTTATTTTTTGATTGGTTGTTTTACGCTAGATATAATTGGTATTCATAAGATATTATGACTGATATTCACCATATACTTTGATTGGTATTTATACCATCATCAGCTGATCTTTGTGTCATCAGATGGTCTATTTTTATATCAATTATCTACCATTCAAGTAGTAATCTTACATTATAGAACAAATTTGTTTTGTTCTAGAGGCGTCATGGTTGATCGCCTGTCTTGCACAATTTTAGACAATATAGCAAAACGTCTTAGAAAGAGTGAACTAGTCTGCAACTCGAGCCGGTAATTTCTTCAATATTAATTTTTCAAAATCATAAAACAACATGTATCGTTAAGGATTCTTCCAATTTTGACTAAACAATACATATTTGTTGCTAAAAAATATTTTGGAGAAGAGTATTCCTTTTTTTTAAATAGAATTACTTGTTGACTTAGTTTGAGATACATGTCATGATGTATTATTCATTGCAAATTTCTCCTTCTTATCTATCTAATTTTGATGATGCTTACTCTTGTGATATTTGGAGGATGTTCAACTATGTTTTGTTTGTGATACTTGTAGGGATGTTCAACTATGTTTTGTGATATTTGTAAGGATGTTCAACTATATTTTGTGTGTGTTAATATTAAAGTTTCCTTTCTTGTTGCATTCACTTTGATCTTACAACATGTTACATTATTGGAAGAACCAATCAGCAAAAAGTTCTAGAGACTTCTTGAAAGAGATAAATATTTTGAATTTTTTTATCGTGAACGTAGTGTTTGTGATATTTGTCATGAGATTAATGCAATCATTTTAGGTGAAGGACATTTTGATGTCACCAACTATTTGTGTCAAAATTCATTAGTTAATAAATTTGAAATTAAAAAGAGGAATTCTAACCCGGTGAACTTGATATTTGATATAAACTCTTGTTGAAACTATTGTCCACAAACATGTATTAAAATTATCTAAATTATCATTAAAGTACAAGCCAAATAAATGTATCTTACAATTATTCCATTTTATGTTTTGATTGCTTTGAACTTGTTTGGCAAATTGTAAGATACAAGAATATAGATCACAAAATCTATCTTTTCAATGTATGACATAACAGGAAAAAAAAAGATGCTCATTTACACTATACTCAAGTATTTGTCCAAGAATATAGATCACTGATTAAGTTGCTATCAATGACATTACTAGAGCAATTAGTATACTATCAATCGGTATTCAAAATACAGTTTGATCCAAAAAAAGTAAACATAACAGAATCACCTAACCCACCAAAACATAAAATGGCTATTAAACAACTAAGATAGAGTGTGACCAAGAAGTTCTTTTAGCTTCCTTTCACCAATTGGATGGCCTTGAAACATGTCAGCCACAATCACATTAAGCACCTGTGTCAAACCCATACACAATTGTCTGGTAAAAAAAATTCTCATAAAGTAAAGGTAAAGATAGTTAAATGAGTACAGAAGCCAGAAAAGTAAAAAACATAGCTTCAAAAGCCCTATACATACATGTTATCCAAACACAATCACATTATAAGATCAATCAATATTGAATAGAGTTTGATCAAGAAAAGTGCAACTAAAGCTATCTTTTTCAGTTTAAGACATAGTATTGCACCTAACGCCGCAGCATCATGAAACCAAGACAGCATAAAACAGCAACTGTAGAACCAAGCAGTGCACCAGTACAGACTTGAGGTAGGGTGTCGCCAAGATCTTCTTTTAGCCTCTCTTCAAGAACTGGAGTCTTTCCTCCAGACAATTCATCAAGAAGCGCATTAAGCACCTGTGTCCACACACAATTTGGACCTCAAAAGATATGTTGTTGATTACAAAACTAACAAAGATTGATCAGTTGAAGAATAGCATACATACCTGGGCTTGGTAGCCGACGTGCCTTGCAACAGCAACGGCATCACACATGACAATGAGACTGAATCCCAAAGAAACGGGAAAGAGTGAGTGAGCAACACCATGAGAGATAACAACAGAAGTCGTGAGCGCAGAACACAGTGCGGAGCGAGTAGAAGGCATTCCTTGAGAAGCAAACATGAGTCTGAAATTCCATTGCTTCTTGTCAAAGAAATTCAAGAAAAGTTTGGTGGATTGCGTGAGAACCAAGGCAAAGATAGCAGAAAGAAAGGTTGGGTTGGAAACCAAAATAGCACCAGCATTCTCCATTAGAGCCGCCACATCTAAGCCTCCTCCGTTTTGCAAGTAACAGAACTCCTCTTGCCTGTTTTCATTGGAAACCATCTCTGAAGCTAGCATGTTTTTGATGGTTAGCGCGGAAGGGAAAGAAGCCAAAGTATGGTTTGGTTGAGAAGAAGAAGAAGAAATGGAAGTAAAGGATGATGATGATGATGATGATCGAAGAGGAAGAGAAGAATCCATGAGAGAGTTTGTGTAGTTTGTTAATAGAAGGAAATGTAAAGGGTGTTTGTGAAGTCAACAAGATATCTGAATATATAAGAAGATAGGGAACTTTCTAGAACCATCCACAACTAATATTCTTTTTTTAAAGGTTTTTTTTCTCAAACACGATGGATTAACTTTTATGTACATCATATGTTTAGTAACTTTTTTTTTTCCATTAGTATACTCCCTTAAGAATACGAAATTTTATTGCATATACTTTTTTTTGGGTACAAAAAGAAGAATTAGCATATACTTTAATTATGCTTTTAATCTATTATAGAAAAATTTAATCTAAATAATTTATAGGTTAAGTATTAAATTTTAAATTATTAAACATTTATAAGTTAATTCATTTTTTAGGTTAGTTACATTAAATATTATAAATTTGTTTTGTTTTGGAATTAGAGTTGAATGTAGTTGATGAATGGTTGATGTTGAATCGATAATGTTAATCTTTGATACAACAGTGCAGGATGGACCAGCATGGTTAACACTTCAATACTCAAATATAATATTCAAGATGAGTATAGTGAAAAGTGAAAAGTGAAAATTAGAGTGTTGATATTGTAATTCCTTGTGTCAGAAGCAGCATGTTGCTCGACACAAGGTGTGTCGAAAATAGTCTAGAGTGTGTGTGCCAACTTAGTCGAAGTGTGTATGTCGAAGTTGTAGTATGTCAAAGTGTCAAAGCAGTTCGGTTGACGCAGGATTTTGACTTAGGTCTAAAATAGTTATTTTGGATTTTTATAGTTATGGGCTTTAACTTAGGGAGCAAGCTAGCTCAATTATAAATAGAGAGGATAACCCCTATTTTATAACACAACTTGTACTCACAGAATTTTGCAGTTACAAAGTGAATAAAGATTTTCCATAATTTGCAGGTAGAGAGAAACTCTGCAGGATATAATCTTCCTTATTTCTTTCTCTATCTTTCATTCTTTTCATTGTCATTGTGTTGTGATAATAATCTTGTTCATCAAGAATGATTGAAATTCTCCATAGATTTCAATAGATTTTCAACATCTGGTATCTAGAGCTCCGGTTGTGCGATTTAAGGGAAGAAAACCACGGTGGCAGTGAGTCATCCAAATGGGCATTTTCCAACAAGTCTTACAATTATGAAAGTTGATAACTATGAGAATTAGTGCAAGTAGATAAATATTGTGTCATGTTGTCAAGATCTTTGGGATCTTGTGAAAGAAGGGTTAGAACTGCTTAAAGAAAATGCAACATAAGAGGATGCACCCAAATAATTAAAGAAGAAGAATTATAAATCTCTCTTTATAATACATCAATGTCTGAGTTTAGACAATTTCAAAAAGTGAGTGATGTAAAATCTGCGAAAGAAGTTTAGGAAATTCTAGAAAAGTCTTTTGAAGATACATAAAAGGTGAAAGAGGTAAGGTTACAAACTCATAAAAGAACGTACAAATTGCTTCAAATGGAAGTAAGTGAGCGCATAACATATTTCTTCACTAAGGTTACGAAAATAGTGAATCAAATCAAGGTATGTGAAGAAGTGTTGACAACAAGATCAGTTGTTACAAACATATTGGGATCTTTGGCTCCAAAGTTCGACCACGGGTGGTAGCCATAGAAAAGTCAAAAGATTTGTCGAAACTGAGAAAGTAAGAGCTTCAAGGGACGCTTGAATCTCATGAACAAAGAATAGTCAAGAGAGTTCCAGGAAAGTCGAAGAGTGATGTGGATTTGCAGATATAATCACCAAGAGAAAATAAAGGTAATGGAAAATTGTTCGACAATAAAGGTAGAGAAGGCTACAACAATTCCAATGGTAGAGGAGACAAACCGAAAGGAATTGTCTCAAATTAGAGAAGACCCTCATACCAAGGAAACCAAAGAGGTGGTGCTGGAGGTAGAGGAAGAGGTGGTGGTCGAAAACCTGACAAGAGTCACATTCAGTGTTTCAATTGTCAGAAGTATGATCATTATTCTAGTGATTGTCTAGAAAACGAAAGAATCAAGAAAGTGATGCAAGGTTTGTAAAACATGAAGAAGAAGATATGATGTTGACGGTCATAACAAGAGATAAATATGGATTCAAGGACCAATGGTACTTGGACTCCAGATACTCGTCACACATGTCTGGGAGGAAGTATTGGTTTCTCAACATAAAACCCTTAATGAAGAACATGGTGAAATTTGCAAATGACAATACTCTAACAGATGACGGTATTGGAGACATTCTGATTATGAGGAAAGATGACAAGAGGTCAGTATTTTCTAATATGTTGTACATACCAGGCATGAAGAACAATTTTCTCAGTATAGGGCAGTTGGTCGAAAAAAATTATAAATTTTTTATTAAAGACAAAATGATGAGAGTCGTCGACGCAAGAGGAAGGTTAATCTTGAAGGCTTCTATGTCTCAGAATAGAACCTTCAAGATTGAACTTAATGTGATGGAGCACAAGTTCCTTATGACTGCAGCTAGCAGGGATGAGTGGATATGGCACTATCAACTTGGTCATCTCAAGTTCAAATACATAAGAGAATTGAGGAGAAGAAATATGGTTTCTGGGTTTCCAGATATCGACATTCTAAGTGAGGTATGTGTGCAGGAGAAGCAGCATAAGAATAGCTTCAATAAGGATGCAGGAAGCAAGTCGAAAGATATTATTGAAATCATATACTCTGATGTATATGGTCCAATCCAGGTGGATTTGACTAGAGATAACAGGTACTTTACTTTCATAGATGATTTCAATCTAAAACTATGGACTTACCTGATCAATAAGAAAAGTGAATTGATCGAGGTATTTGCCAAGTTTAAATCTATGGTCGAAAGACAAAGTGGTCGAAAGCTTAAGATTTTGAGAACTGGTGATGAAGAATATGTGTCGAAAGACTTCGACATCTTATGTGAGAAAGAAGGGATTATGCATGAATTGGTGCCATCCTACAATCTATAGCATAATGGAACTACAGAAAGGAAGAATCTATTAATTCTCTATTTTTGTTGTTGGCATTATGTTTGGTAAAACAAACTTAGTAGAAACATGTTGAATGAAGATATTCTATCAACTAAAGCAACGTGTCAAATAAGATGTCCCAACCAGAAGTATAGGACTTTGTGTATTTGTACAACATGAATGTTAGTTATTTTTAGTTTTACATGTGCAGAATATTCTGGAGATATTATGTTATCCCATGTGATACGTAAGCTGAAGATTGAGAAAGATTATATATGAATATAAGAAATATTATTAGTTTCTAAATTAGGAGAAAATTTAGGAAACTAATGATTGAAGCCCCGATGTGTGCAGAAGATTCTGCTGAGTTTTAGCAACTGACTTGCGGCGATTGAAAAGCCCAATCCAATCCATAGGATGACTTTAAATAGAATGTCACTAACCTAGTTTTAGTGTGGAACTTACTTTGTATTTTTATTAGGGTTTGTGTGCTTATTGTGAGCCTCTCGATTATCATGTTGATAAAAGAGTAGGAATGTTTTTGAGTTATAAGTTCAATCAATCATTCTAAAGCTTTGAAGCAGTGAATGATTATGTGTCTTTGAAGTGTGACTTCAGTGTTTGTTCTAAGTGTTTAGAATTGGTCGACCATTGTGATTATGATTGAAAGGGATTTGAGAAGGGTCTCATACTTAAGTGAGTCTTAGGTAGAAGTTAAGAATGGGTAGTGATTAAGTGAGTAGACTGTAAACTAGGTGAAAATTTGTTGTGGGTCTACAAATTGATATTATCAAGTTAACTTGGTCCCTGGCTTGGTAGCCCCCAGAGCAGGTGTGTTGATTCACTGAACTTGGTTAACAATTCTGTGTGTTCTTTACTTTTTTACATTGTATTTATCATTCATATTTTTCATTGTGTGCAAGTTCAGTAAAAGGTGTCTCGACATCTTTTAGGATATTTTTTATCTGATACCATCATTTCATAATCAAACCATCATGAATATGGTGAGAAGTATGTTGAAAGGTGAAACAATCGGCTGAATAATCATCAAGAGAAAATTAATAAAGTTGTCATCGAATGTTTTTTATCCCACGGGAAGGGAAAGGTAAACATCGAGTAAACCTGAGAAGGGTGAAATCACGATCAAACGACCGAGAGATATGGGTAAGGGAGTCGATTACACAAGGGGAAAGTATTATCACCCCTCACATTTGTGGTACTCCATGGGATCCACTCTTGTTGTTAAAATCAAAGGGTGTGTTCAAATATAAAGCTTAAGAGCTAAAAGAAAAAATGAAAAGAGGGAATGCATGCAAAAGAAAACACAGGAAGAGAAGGAATATTTACAAAGTTTCACTCGCCTGGAGCCCACGACCAAATGCCTACGTATACCTTTTAAGGAATCAGAGTGTCGTAGTTCGGCTCAATAGTTTCCGCTTGTTTTGTATTTTTTATGAATAATATTAATTTCGCTTTCTTTCGTAACTCGGCCTTTGGAGACTCACGCGTTGGCACAAGAAGGAATTAACATGTTCTACCTAAGAAGGTATTTTCAAAAGAAAAGTGTCTGAAGGTGGATATTACTACATTCTTCCTTTATTAAATAGACATGGTGCTACCCGGCCTTTGGAGATTTACGCGTCTTATTGCGTAGAGTAGAATTAACACATCCTTTTGAGAGTTTTGAAGAAAGGCCGAAGGAAAAAGAGTTTGAATTGGTTGATTTTTTTACCTTGAAAAAGGATTTGAAAATGTTAAAGTTTTTTTTATGTATTTGCCAAAAAAAAAGGGGTCTTTTTCTTAAGAATGCAAAAAGAAAAGAAAACATCTAAGGGAAACTATCTAGTTTTATCCCTAATGTTATCATAGAATGATTGGACCTAAGGTTGAGTTTGCAAGGGAGATCTCTACCTAAGTTAGCATGCATAGATTATTATCCTAATGTCTAACTTACATTGGAAATGAAACAAGCGTATCCTTAGGGAGAATACAAAGGTTACAACCTAATGGAAAGCGCAAGCACAAGGTGCAAACAAACAAAGT